GAGCAAAATAAAAGAGTAAAACTTGTTTTAGCGTCCACAATAACTCCACTTCAGAGCAACGTTTTATACAACGATCATAAGGTAGTAAAAAACAAACAAACAAACAAAAAACAAAAAATGGATCAAGAAGCAATTTTAGATAATCAGACTTGCTGTCAAGTCACCGAGTGACATTTCATAAAAAAAAGGGTCCCGCAGCCACAAAACTCCCCATCGCAGAAGGCAGCAGGGGGTAAGGCAAAAGGAATTAAAATAATAATAATAGTAATAATAAAGGAGAAACGCACCCGCCAATTTACAAAGTACTCCACTAAAAGATAAAAAAAAAAGAAAAAAAGAAGCAATCAACAGAACAAAAAAACACAGTGTTTATATGCAAGATGCTCACTAATCCATTCGGTACCATCTGGCCGCACACTCCCTCCACAAGCTTCTGGCGACGAAATGAGCCGCCCCCTCCTCCACGCCGGCCTCGTCAGCGTCCGAATGGTGGGAGAAGAGAACGTCCAAGCAAGAGAAAACAAAAGAACGTTAAACTTCTCCTCACGGCGCACTGACACTTATAATTAGCGTAACAGCGGGTGAGTAAATTATCGCAACGGCCTCGTGTGCAACAATCGCATGTCCTACGGCCAAGACATTCGATTCAGGCATCAGTATACAGCGTCCCCGTCCCTACCAAAGCAAACAACACACACAAAAAAGGCTTACATAATTCTACAATATTTCTTTTAAATAAGTTTTTATTTTTCAACCACACTACCTTTATTCCTTACGAAGCGTCTCCACCGACGGTACGGCGCGGCCGTCGCACTGATGGCAGTGGCAGCGGTGGTAAGGGGCAAGAATCCCTGACCACAGAAGCCCATACACACCAGCGCACGCACACACACAGGTACCAATAGGCATTTTAAAAAAGCTTATATATATAATTAAATACAATGAGGGGAGGGCGGGCGGCACCGTCCACGGACAGCGGCCAGAATCGCCACTATGACTGCAGATGATCCTCCTCAGTAGCCTGGTCACCAGACCCCATTCCGATCATATCCTTCCCGTCTTGGAGAGAGTCCGGTTTCTCCCGCTCATCCAGCCTTGCCCGAGTGAAGCGCGAAAACCGCCAGTGTACAAACGCGGCGGCGAGTGTGGCGACCACGTTCACGAGCAGCAAGATAAACATCTGGTTTCGCACACACCTGGGGTGGTTGCATGAGGGGAACTCACCGCGCCTGCGCGCCTCCGCATCGTACATCTCTCCGAACATGAAGCGGTTCAGCGCAATAGACGCAACGGCACCGGACGTGAAACAAAAGTTGTAATGCTTGCCAATGTCCTCAGAGTACATAATCCGTAAAGCGATCACGCCCACACCCCAGCCAACGCCGTTGCCCATGGCTCCAAGCAAAAACGGCAGCAGCAGCACACTCCCCGGTAGCACGGCAAAGAAGAAGTGCGCCACCACCAACAGCAGGGGACCAATGGGAAGCGCAATGGTCGTCAGTGTCCTTGTCTTGCCCTCACGCTGTAACGCGGACAACTTCATATCGAGACACCCCATGGCCATGCGTCCAACAGCGCTGCCCACAGACATGATGGCGACGTACAGCGTCAGCGTTCGGGTGTCAAACCTGCCGTTGTTCTTGCTGCGATAGATCTGAGCAGCGTTCATCTGCATCACCAGGCCGGTACCCCACATGCCGAAGCAAGCGAGCCACACCGCCCACAAGTCAACGGTGAGCAGGTGGGACCAGAAGGAACCACTGTACTGCGGCGCTGGCGCGGCCACCCCATCCGCGCCAAGGTTGTTGCCGTCAGCCATAGCACCCTCAGATGCGGTTTCGCCCTTCCGCTCATGCTCCAGCTCCGTGGTCGCCTTCCCGATGCCCTCCATATGCGTGGGATGCACGGGCGTGTAGCGGCCCAAAAACTGGAACGGCATCGCAATTACGGAAAAAGATGCCATCAACAGTACCGCTACGATCGAGATCGCCAAGTAGCCCGCGCGGGAAGTATTCACGTACGCCGTGGTGATCGACTGTGTGGTGGAAAAGATCAGCGTAACAACGACAATTGCAAACCCGATCCGCAGACGCCGCGTGGGGGCATGCTGGCTCATGTACAGGTCAAGCGTTTTTTCCCGCTCCGCGGCCTCCTCACTGCTCAGACGCTTTTTTGTCCACGAGCACGGAAAGTACGTCGGCAACCGTATGAAGCACGCGCCTAAAAGGGAGCACAGCAGAATCATCACCCCAGTAAAGTACGCGTAGCCGGAGTAGTTGTTGTTCTCGGCTCGATCAGCGTCGGCCGCCTTGAACCAGCCGTTGAAATACGCCATCAGCACTGCGGTTCCAAGCCCATTAAACGTCTTCATGATCAGTACCACATAGCCGCGCTCCAAGGGGAACTGCAGCATCAGCGACATGACAGAAGAAACATCCATCATCGGAAGGCCAAGGCAGGTAATTCCCTGGTAAAGAGCAAAGAGCGCCACGCTCGATGTGGTAATTGTACCGTCAAATGTCATCCCAAACAGAACAAAGCCCAGGCATCCAAAGAGACCCCCAAGCGGAAGCAAGACTGTGGGACCCACGTAGTCAAACAGCACTCCGGCATGGAACCCGCAGTAGCCCACGCAAATCCCGACCGTGCTGATTGTCGTGATTTCGCTTTGCGAATACCCGTACTTGTTCCGCAGATGATCCGTGAAGATGCTGAAACCGTACATGGACGAAATGCCGAGCCCGAGATAAATGCCGGCCATCAGCATCCGCATGCGGAACAGATCATCTATCAATTGTACCATGGCTTTTTACCTTATTGCGTGGTTTCCTCTCCTGTGAATTCTACTTTTTATTCGTGGAAGTTGTAGTTTGCAGGACGCTTTGGCCTTTACTACACCAGAGAAAGATTTGGGGCAAAAATATACTCAGTGTGTGTTTTCATTTTGATTACGCAAACGCGATTTTTCCCCTTTTTGTTATTTGTCCAAATGAATTTGTTTGACATGTGTGGGAATAAATGGGAATGATTTGGCTGCAGTAGCCAAGGGGTGCAGAAAGTAGCAAAGGAAGTAAGGCTGCGGGAGGCACTGAGCTTGCCAATTGTAGCTCTTGCAGGCATCCTATGGAGCGAAAAACGCCATGGCAATGCATGCTATACATAATTGCGGCGCCGCCCCTCAAACTGCACTGCTGCAAGCGACAAGGAAAAAAAAATGAGGGTAGGTGATCAGTGTAGTGGGGGAGCCGTCTCTCTGAGGGCAATGACACTGTGGAAGGCACGGATAAACACCAAATACCGCAGCTCTTAGTCCCTCATTTTAAACGGAACATTTTTTCGTGACAGAGAGGTCTCACTGACACGGAGGTAGGAAAAAAGCACTCGTCAATTCAGCTCCAGAATACACACGCGTGATTTTTTGCAAGAGAGAGAGAGGGAGAGAGAAAACCATTGGCCGCAAGTTATTTCACCCCTCTTCCCCAGCTGTGCTCGTTTCCCTGGGACAATCCCCCTGCCTCAGCGGTGCAGGATAAAACAAGAAAAGGAAGACACATCTTTTGCAAGAAAAATAAAAAGGAACACAAAAGCCCAGTCCCACAAAATGAATGAAGCATGAGGTGTTACCATTCGAGACTGCGGGTATGTTGTTGTAGACCAGAGATCACAAAAGGCGAGTTGCTTAGCAAAGAAGACCGCACGCAAAACGCTTCTGTAGCACCCTCAATGCGAAAAATGAGGAAATAATTGATACTCATACTGCAATTCACTGTGGAGCCTCAAGCGAATACTCACAGGCCCACCAAAGAGGTTTCGGATGCACAGGAATTTGGCTTCGGTTGCCGGTTGCCGGCGCGGGCGCTGCATCCTACGGAAGATTGTGCCCTCTAAGCCCCCAACTGCATGCTTTCAAAGACACGCGGCCTCCCTCAATCCTCGTATTCGCATCGTACCTCAAGGCGACACTCTTCGTCGCGCGGCTGAACGATAAGCCAATAGATTCACACCTCTTGGCAAGGACCTCCTGTTCTCCTGTTGGCGCCACTTCTTGGCCGCACATTGGCCCCGCCGAACCACGCTCTTCCGCCGCCCGCTGGTCCGGATACTGCTAATCCAAACAGGAGCCCTTACCACGCGCGGCACCACAGACTGCGGTCTTACTATCTCGGGGTCTTCCGCCAAGACCCTCGCGGTGGTGCGGGGAACTTCCGGACAACACTCATGACCCGTGTGGGGGCGAGTCAATTTCACAAGATCCACGAATCTTACTCGACAGCGGAAACTCGTCCGTGCATATCCGCCAAAAGAGCCGCCTGTAAAAAGGCGCAACCAAGTCCAGTAAAGCGGCGGCTTCGTCCCATAATGCGCTAAGATACTGTGAAATGGCAGAGCAACCATGACCCCGGCGTCCTCATGGGCGTTGCTTGCCTTTGGCCATGCGATGAACCGCCATCCCCGCACTGACGGCTTGTCCAGCACCGCCGCAAAAGGCACCGCCGGCCCATCCTGCGACGGGCACTTCCATGGCTCTACAAATAATACCCGCCCTTTTCACAAGCAGCGCATGCTGTGCGGAGATCCTCAAATTCAATTCGTTCCCATCGCTCGTCGAGGTGACGGACCGTAACAGTGTCCTTCCACAAATCGTCAACACAGTCGCGTGCCGTTGGATTCATCCGCCGTCGGATCCGCTTCAGGGAGTAAAAGTGCACAGGTCCACTCTTCGCCGGAGCAGGCAATCCTCCTTCTCCTCCCGCAACGCAACCCGACGGCTATGGGTGCGCCAAACAATGCTGTGGCCCTCAGAAAAGATGGTCGTGTGCCGTCCTTCCCCGGCGACAATTGTGCCCACAGCACCGTCGCCCGGTGCGCCAACTAGTTTCCACCAACGGTGCCAATTCCACCCTGTTATTGGTAACGGTCAAATGTTCTAGCTGTCGAACATTGTCGCAAGGAAGCTCCATGGGGCCGCAGCCGCCGTCCTTCGCAGACCGGCCAGAAACACGGTTGCGGGTGTGCACCCGCAGTCCAGCACGGTTATCAGCGTCCTCCAGCACCCGAGGTGAAAGCAATCAATTACTGCTGCAAAAAAGTCAAATTCATTCCGTTGCTGGCTCTGCGGTAAACAAAATTCAGAGAAAATGCCCCCCTCTCTGAGGCCCCGCCCCTTCTTCCCACAATCAGAAAGAAAAGCAGAACATAAAAGAAAAGGATCGCGGTGGGGCTCAGTGTGCCCGGCACCCTAAACCGAATGAGAACTGCTCAACACTCACACATCAGAGGGACCAAGCGGTTCACATAACTCAATGTACAGCCACCAGGCGTGTCTTAAAGTCACCAATAGAAACTGGCGGTCTTTCGGTTCACGCAGCCACAAAACTCCCCCTCGTGGAGGGCAGCATGGGATGAGCGGAAAGAAGAAACAATTCTGCGCCCGCCAACTTCCAACGCGCTCCACTAGAAGATGAAAAACAAAACACAGACACAAAAAAAAAACAATGGTTATATGGAATCCGATCACACCTTTATTCGGCCCCATCTGGACGCACATTCTTCCCCACGCTCGCTTAAAAAAACGCCCTGCGACCAGTTAGGCGAACAAAGAATTTAAAAGCCATTCTGCCGGCGACCCACTCCGCATCAGAAAGTTGTTGACCTCTCGTTAACAACGAGCAATACACAAGCCCGATTATAAATCTAGTTACCGTGCAAAACCAAAGCTTTACAACAAAAATGTCATTGGACAATTTGGAAGAGAAATATTTTCATTTTTTTCTCGGCATGCCAACTCAAGATAGATCGCTCAATTCTCAAGCATAATATATATATATATATATATATATAAAGGAAAAAACAATGCGTTTTAACGTTTTTTGAAAATGAATATTCCTAAACATCAAAGAAAAAATCAAAAAAAAAAAAAAAAAAAGATGTAAAGGGTAAAGAGAAAGTAAATACGTCTGCGGTGGTTAACGTATGCAGGCTAAAGTGTACCCTTGATCCTAGTTATTTGCAGTGGCGGAGCTTCCCTCCGGGTGTTTCTCAGCATTAGAAACAATGGGCTCAGGGTTCCTCTCTCCGCAAGCGGCACGCGTATTTTTAATAAAGCGTGTGTATCGGACGTGCACAAGCGTGCTAGCAACAATGGCGGTTGCAAGTACGCACAGGAATACAATGAATCCATTCTGGATACATGCCTTGCCACCGCAATTGGGGTAGTGAGGGCCCTTCTTTGTAGCCCGCGTTAATTGCTCTCCGTATGCAAAACGGTTAAGTACAATAATACCAAAAAATGCACCAACATACATGAAATTGTAGTGTTTGCCGATGTCCTTCGAGTAGACGGAGCGCATCACCAAAGCCGTGCTCGCCCAGCCTGCACCGTTGCCAATCCCGCCAAGCAAGAAACCAAGAATGACGGCCTTGGATCGCAAGGGCAAAACCAATAAGAAAAACACGCTCAGAAACAAACTGCACGAGGCAACCGGGTAGAGACATGTGATTGCAGGACGACGCTCTGGAGATCGTCGGAGGATCAAAAACTCTATGATCCCCACCGCCAAACGACCCAGGGCGTTCCCGATACCAATGATAGCCGAGTACATCGAATTTGTGGCGGTGTCGTATTCATTATCGTTTAATGCACGGTATATCTGGGCACTGTTGAAGGAAATGACAAGTGCACAGCTCCAAGTGACGAAAGTGTTCCACCACATCATCCACAGGTCCGGTGTCTTCAGGTCCTCCCAGAAAGTACCCTGATACTGCGGGTCAATGTCGCTCGGAACATGCGTCTCCTTCACAGCCCTATCCGCTGCTTCTTTCGACGATAGCTGCACCGGTTCTGCCAATTCATCCGGCAGCGGCGGAAGTTCCTCGTTCGGCGGTTTTGACATGCCACCAAGAAACCGAAAGGGCGCTACAATCACCGACAACGAGAATAAGAGAATAATCGCCCCAATGGTGATGCCGATGCGGGTATTTTTAGAGATGCCGCTCACGTAGGCCAAGCATAGTGACTGCGTCACCAGGTATATGATAAGGGAAATAACGACGATGCAGCCAACAATAAATCGCTGTATCGGTGGACGCTGTTGCAGGTAATAAGGCTCAATAAGCTTTCGTCGCTCCTGGATTTCAAGCGGCAATGTTTTCTTCTCGCGATCGACAATGTGATACGGTGGGAATTGAACAAAAACTATCGAAAAGCCACCAAGAAGCACCACAGTAATTGCCAAGAAGTACATGTAGGCCGCATACTTCTCATAAAAGAAGCTGTAGTTAAGCACAGCAAGCACAGAGGAGCCGATACCGCCATATGTCTTCATCAGCGCCACCACAGGACCCCTCGTCAGCGGAAAGCTCCCGAGCACCGCCATCAGTGATCCAGTGTCAAACCAGAAGCACCCAAAGTTCAAAAACGCACAGAAGACCGAAAAACGCAACACAGAGGCGGCGATGACTCCTTGAAATGTAAGCCCAAAGAGAAGAGCGCCCAGTGAACAAGTAACGGTGGAGATGGCGAGTACCCACTTCGGCCCCGCGTAGTCCAGCAGTATGCCTCCGGGGAACGTCACCAGCCCAACAACAATGCCAACGGTTGTTATGGTCGTCAAGTCGTTCGCGTTGAGGTCAAACTCATTCTGAATATGATTGCTGAGAAGATTAAAGCCGTAAATCACCGACATGCAGAGCGAAGCAGCAAGGCCACCAAGAAGAATCCGGAAACGGCCAAGTTCATTGATGCGGTATTCCATCGTTAAAAGACTTATTTATTTTATTTTTTATTGTTATTTATTTTTTTTTTTTTCGGCTCGTTTCAATCCACAATTAGTCTGATGCAATAGTATGGCTGCAGAGAAACTATACCAACAAAAACAACAACAAAAAAGACAAAAAACAAAACAAAACAAAACAAAACAAAGGGCAATAAAAAGAAAAAGAAGAGAATATAAATAAATAGAGAAATTGTTGCGACACACAACAGCATTGGGAAGCTCATCCCTTAGTTATTGCTCAAACAGGACGGCCGTGGTGGTGCTTCTTCAACTGCAGTCAAGCCCTTCTTAGAAAATAACCGCTCATGACACTGCAGTTAGCATTTTGCCGTGAGGCCCTAAAAACAACCTGTGCCCCGGTTCAGGCGCAATGTCCCAGAGCCCCCTACGAAAACCAGTACGCTATCAGCATGGCAATGGACGGTACAATCACCACAGCCACCAACAGCCGAACGCCAAACGAAGCGGCCAAAGCAAGGAAGGGCAACAGCGACGATGTGGACCCCTGTTTTGGTGGAAAAAGTGAAAGAGCCACACACTTCGGCCGTACAAATATTTCCTTCCCGTCGCCAGCAAACAACGTGGGATCCGCCACCGCAGTTATTGCGTCGCTTCCTGCACAGGTAACAGCCTTGTCGTCATCGACGGAAAAATTCATCCTGCCCTCGCGACATGGCACACGAGAAGTGACGCTTTTTTTCTTTTCGCACAGTGATGAAGCAAATTGCGGCTCTTCACAAAACGGTAGCGTCGACACAACAACGTTCTGCGCAATATCCGTCGTTAAAACATCGTTTATTTGGGAAACGGCCACGCAAGAAATGGGCTCCCGGTGTAAAGCCGGAAATTGTCTAGCTTCTCTCTTGTTTTTGGACGGTCGAATCAACGCGGTCTGAAATTTGCCATCACCGGCGTGGACAATCAAAGCGAGAGTGCCCTCCACAGTTCCGGCCAGCCAGTAGGAAGGAACGACGGTGCCAACCCCTTCGCCACTGACGGCGTCACATTCATGGCAAGGCCTGCGGTAATGGCATGCGCTAATTGAAGTAATGCCTTCCTTTACCAGAGGTGAAGGCTGAGGGGCAAAGCACACCTGGAGTGCAAGCCGATTGGAGGGTTTCTTTCCGGCATTGCTCTCCGGCTCAAAATCCTTTGAAAAGGAAACTTCATTGCGAGTACTGGCCGTGCTTGACACTCGAGCCGTCAACATGTACGACTGATTTCCCAACACATCATAGACCACAACAATAAAACTCGCTATGGGCATGGCGCCTCGGACACCCGTTTCCCGGTGCAGACGGCGTGCTTTTAACCAAATCAGCTCTGCCTTGGATGGAGCCGCATCTTCCACCCCAAATACTTGCACCAGTCGCATAGAAGATTTCATGAGCGAGAAGGGAATGCGACAGTCCTTCCCGGTAAACATACACGCGTCTACAAGACAAGTGGTAACTTTCCCCTCTTTTATATCTCCATTCTCCTCCTTGTAAATCGTTTTATGTCTCCGAGGAAGCTTCATTGTGGCAATTCGAAGTGTCTTGTCCTGAACTAGAGCTACAATGAGCATGTGATTCGAGTGATGTCGCTTCCTCGACCTTTCTATTCCCGGTTTTCTTTTAGGCACAAAGAATCGGTTAGCATGAAGATCGTTCAGACGCGCCGGTAGCGGCCAGACAGCAAGGGGTTCTGCCTCCTGTAATATTCGCGGTGTCTCGAAGACGGCATCTTGTGCTTCACCGCTGGCAGATGAAGAGGGACTCACGTTCTGAGCCTCCGCCTCCGCCTCCTTCTCTACTTTTCTTCGTACTGTTTTTTCTTCCTCGGTCGAATGCGCGCGTTGCACAAGGGAGTGTAATCCGTAGACATACACACCGCCTTCGTCGTGTGCAACAACTAAGGCGCCCTGTACCAGAGCAATGGGCTTCTTGTCAGGGTTCTTTGCATCTGCTGGGACCTCGATGCATGCGAGTCTTCGCATTGCGAGTGTGTTTGCCTTGCAGCATTCATACACCTCAACGAGTGTGAAGCATGTGATGTGACTCACCGCAATGTACCCCACCACGCCACGAGCAACTTGTGTCGTGTCCGTACAAATCAAAAAGGTGGAAGCACACCATGGGATGTTCCCCTCCATGTCAATGGCCGCGACAAAATTCCAGGGAATTGTGGGAGGCAGTGGCTCCTTCTTCGGTGTCCGTTGTTGCTGCTTCCCACTGGAAGAAGTACCGCACGGCCCTTGCGTAGAGTCTACTGAAATAATCGCGAGAAGATTCGCCATCCCAAAACGCCTACCGCCTCCACCAGCGCCAATAATTGCGTGGCGCTCGTCCACCCACCGCACAAAGTACACTGGCGAGGGCAGCTGCATGTACTGAGGGGATTTTCCAGGCGCAACGACCTCCTCTGCGGAGAACGACGATGAGCTGTCTTTATGCATGGGAGCCAGATTGCCAATCAGAGACCTTTTAGTTTATTCCCCTAAATGCTTCACCCGTCATTCAAAGAGAAGAACAAGGCATTTTTTTGTTGTTTTGTTTTCCAAAAAAAAAAAAAAAAAGAAATTGAAAGGCGTTTACGCAAGTATACAGAAAATATACCCTCCTCCACTCCATTTTGCTGAATAAAACGCATCGACAGGGCAATTTCTGTGTCTAGCTGGTGGCCCGCCATCCCACCACGCCGGGACAAAAAGACGAAACCCGCATCCCCACCACTGCGCCACCAAACGCAAAAAGACAAAAAAGAAAAACAACAACAGCAACAAAAAGAAACGCCGCATTCTTGAGAAAAAGGGTGTTGCAGTCCGTTGATCTCAGTGTGGAAGCGGGGCGTGGGAGAAAAATGCATACGCACATGTATAATCCACTCCCTGGAGCACAGCCGCAAGCACCAACCACAAAGGGAAGCAATAAATACCAGGCAATCAGTTATTGCAGGTGCCCCCCTTAGTTCACCCTCCAGCGATAATTGAAGCGATCATTGTGGATCTGCTTCATGGTTGCTACATGTTTGGGCAAAACGCTAACAACTGGTAATGCCTTCACCTGACGCCTAATTGTCACATACTTGCGGTCCTTTTCCTTGTCCGAAACGGCGTCCCAGGAATCGCCCAACGCCGCGTTCACAGCCGCCTGACCGTATGTGTTCACCAACTTGGCCTGATCCTCGAGCACCTTCATTGTCTTGAACTGCATAAAAGCAATAAATGACTTCTGTAGCTTTCTGTGCCAGCGGCGACGAAGCATCTCGCCCTCACGCAATTTGCACTCCGTCGCGTTTGACTTTTGCTGATATGAACGAAATAGTTGAAAGTGACGGAGGCGCGAACGGTGCACGTAGTGCATGATTCGACGGTCAATCAAAGTAATTGGTTCATTGCGTTTCACTTCCTCGACCATCGGGGTTCGTCCGTAGAAATGGCTCACACCGCCATGTGCACCCTTCCATTTACTGTACTTCATCGTCCCCATGGACTTGCGGTGGTACATCATGTATCCACCACGGCACGCCGAAGTGATGCGTAACATGGTGATCACTTAGCACCTCCCCTACTTCTGCCCACCCTTCCTTCCTCCTTATATCTGTCGCCACCACTCAACACCAATTCGCCCACGGAGAACTATTTCCCCACAACTATGCAGAAGGGCAAAACCAAACCAAACAAGAATAACAACAAAAAGTAAGCAGGGGAGGGCCAAACGGCTTCTAAGACACATGAAAGAGTGACGCCGAAAAGGTTATTGACATTAAATGAAATAGGGAAAAGGGACGCTCTTGTAGGTTAGGGGGTGCCACTAAAAACGTGTGAGTTCTAAAACGGCGGCTACATAATACGACGCCACAAAATCAACTCTGCGCCCTGCCTCCCTGTCTTCCTCTGCCTCCATTACATCATTGGTTTTGTGGGTTAGCGCCGCGGCAATTACCAATGCGTAGTAAGACATCGTAGGGCTCCAACGGTTACCGCAAAGCCAACGCACCCGGTTCTGTTTACTGTTTTCCTCCTTCGCAGCCTGCAGAAGCAATTCGGCGTAGGCACGGAGCGGATCGTCGCCTGATGCATCCATCACCCCCCGCTGCAGGGGTCTGTCGCCGCCGTCGTCCTCTTCCCGTTCAACCTTTATCGCCACCGTCCTCTCGTCACACGACGCCATCTTTCGCCGTTGTAGACACGCCGCGCTTTCATGGAGCAAAGCCACCACTTGGTCTGCTTCGCCCACCAATGCACCAAAGCAGCAGTGCTGACCCGCCAATTTAACAAGTTCTTCCTGCACAAGCTGCGCATGGTTGGAAGCCGGAGCCTCAAAGTGTCGCGGGTCCAAGTCGTCCGATGACGGGAAAAGAAGCGGCAGGGATTCCTTGTAAATATGCAGCGAGCCATCATCCACTGATTTCATTTTGGATGGCTGTGGTTGAAATACACGCGATCTTCCACCGGCAATGCGGATGGAGCGCAAAAAGGGAGGTAGACCAATAAACTCTGCAACTCTCAATAAACACGCCAGGGTCTCAAAACGGGAATGCTTGTGAAGGACATAAGACCCACCGGCAACACGAAGCCGGCGTGATGGACGAAGGACCCCATGATTCACTGCAGGGAGTTATGTCATTCACCTCTGCCATTAAACCCTTAATCACACATTGCTCCCCTTGATGCCAATAGGCCACGCCAGGCATCGGCTCTATGGTGGCAGCCTCAATCATGGAGGGACCAAAGAGAGCGGCAGACACCTCATTTCTCGTTTTGCACAGGCGGAGCGTAGAGATAATGCGTAAGTGACACTCACGCAGCTGCAAAAGACGTTGCAAACATTTCAAACGCCCATTCAAGGCCCAAAGGCTAACTGGGGGCAGACCCGCCGTGACGCTTTCGCATGCGGTGGTAGAACTGGCAAGGAGAGACACCTTCATGGGCACTGCAGCTTCAGCCAGTTCAATCAGCTTCCGTATGACTCTCCACCTTTGGCACATTGCGTCGTTCGAAAATACAGCACGGTTGCCATCGGTTCCAACCGTCCGTAAAAGCTCAGCGGCATCAACAATAGCTTGGATTGCCGTCAACACTCGTTCCACGGTTAGCGCCGAAAACGGGTATCGCGCCCGAGAATTGGCAAAAAGCAACGCGGTCTCCGCCTCTACCAGTGTTCCAATTTTAGCAAGCGCCTGCACCAACAAGGTCGGTCGACAAATACCTTTCCAAAAGCTGATTTGTGGTGCCGATTGCTGCAGACGCAAACGACTGCCCTGCGGGTGGGACTGCACATCTGCCGTGCACGCACCCTGCCCTTTGACGCCCACCCCCGCCATGCCACGCAAAATCACAGCGCTCTCGTTAGAGTCGCAAGAGGCCTGTCGAAGCGCCGCGGCGATGGACGTTGACTTGACAACAGGCAGTTTCCGTCCCCCCTTCTTCCCTGGCGGCGATTTAAAAGATGATGATGCCGCCACCGCTGATGACTCACGCCGCCCTCGCGCCATTTTTCCTTCTTGCTCAGCCAGCGCCTGACTCTCGCCACTGCGGCTTCAATGAAGGCGAGAGAGAAATTTGGGGAGCAGAAGAAATGGAACGCAACATTTTCCAGCGAAGCCAAATTAACAATTCCCCCAAAAACCAAACAACAACAAGAACAACAAAAAATAAAAGAAGCACCAGCGGACTGGAAAACGCACCCCGGACAAAGTCCTTCAAGTCAAACATTTCCTTCTCGCATTCCCCGCATCCCCTCTCACACAATCACTGATGCTCCACCTCCTCTTGATCCCTGTTTGCCGTGCAAATGCTCTCCATCTCAAGCCCGACACTTTCCTCCCTTCGCCGCCATCTTCTGGTACCAACAGCACACCCGGACACTGCGGGGCGTTCACAGTCTTCATCCACCTCCCCCCGCGCATTCCCAAGGCGGCTTTTGCCCTTCTGAATTTGATGCCACGCATTCACCTCAACAAAAACCGTTCCGGCAAAGCGTTCACGGTACTCCTTTTGGCGTGACTCAACCGGCGGCGCTGGAACAAATTCTCGGTGTTGCCCAGAAACGCCCGCTTCGGAAATCGGTTGCGGGTCCTCCACTGTCACCACCACATCGTCCTTTTCTTTCTCCTCACTCCTCCGCATTTGAATTATTCCGCCATTTTTCTTTTCATATCCTAAACGATTCCTCTCAAGCAGCTCCTGTCGACGCTTCTCGCGCTTATATTGCTCCTCCGCCACCGTCGGCCTTGCACTTCTACGCATCTGCCGCACGTTCGACGGCGAAAGCCGCATCTCCCTTATGAGCCGGACAAGTTTCTCAGCGTCAAATAAACGTTTTGTGGCGTGGTCCAAGCACATGAGAACATCCCCCGCATCGTTGCAACGTAGTAGTTCATTTTGATGCAACTTCAACACCGCCAAAACCACCTCCAGCGGCACGCACGAATGCTCAGAAGAGTGGCTCCAGCCGGCAAGAAGACAATCCCACACACGCAAGAGCGTCTGCACAGGAACGACATTAATGAACAGCGCCATGACCCACGCCGACACGAGCGTCTCAACCTCAAAGTGCACCTCCGAAAAGTGTTGTGCAAGACGCGGGAGGCGCTGTTGGAGAAGAGCCTGAAGTACGAGTTGATCCACCTTTGTCCCTATCAGCGATTCCGAGTACAAGTCGTTGGGCAGTAAGTTTTCTAGTAGGTGACACATAAGCCAGAAGGTGCTTTCCTCATCGTCAACCACCAACAGAATAAAAGCAACAAGATAGTTGAACGACTGGCAATAGTTCAAAAGTGGATTGCGCCAGCACAGAGCATGCAGAACATTCCGCGCCTTTCGAATCCCCAACCCACCGTCCGCAAAATATCGATGCTCGGGAAAAGTGCGGTGAAGATCCTTTTCAATGGCTTCGGCATACTCGCCACGCATGTATCCATGACGCTTCAAAAGTGCTCGACAGAAACCCTGATTCTCATCCATCTTCGCCGCAACACCAGATATCGTTAGCCACAACACACCGCGCAGGTGCTGTGGGATGCCATGGTGCCACATAGCCCGCCGCATGAACTCTTCCACCTTGGCGTTCGCAGCAGCCAGCAACGGCAAACCTCGTGAATAACTTTGCCAGTGCTTCTCACAGCGCTGCGCTGCTAGCCGAAGCAGAGGCTCTGCATCCATCTCTGCGGCTCGTACCTCCAAATTAGAACTTGGAGGGAATCCGAGTCGCTCCTCCGACGCCCAGTCCACAGGGCTGAACACCTCCGGCGTCATTTCTGTCCATTTGATGGAGGTATCCACAGGGTCGGGCGCGTGTGCTCCGACGCCCCTCCCCGGCATCTCGTCAAGGGCCGCGCGTTCACCGCCATCCCCACACCCACCGCTGCTGCAGTCACTTGGTGGTTTTTCCTCTGGCCAGAACGAAGCAAGAGCACCGGTCCGAACTCTGTTCTTCATCTTCTCATCGGGTATATGTGTTCCGCTCAAAGCGCCTTGCACCTGATGTCACGTGCAAAAAAAAAAAAAAAAAAAAAAGCTCACCTGCATGCACAACAAAACTCAAAGAAACGAAGGTAAAGAAAAAACGAAAAAACAACTCCACGTCGCCTCACAAAAGCTGCAGGGAAGACGCGGCCGTTCCCCGCCCTCAAAGCCGAGTAAAGCCATAGAAGGGAGAGAAAGAGAGAGAGGCGGTGGTGCAAAATTCAACGCTGGGCGGCCCCTTCCCTCCATAGCAGAAGAAAAAAAAAAAGTAAATACAAACACACACACACACACACACAGACGCAAAAACAACCAAAAAGCGTAGATTGATCCGTAAAAGTCCAAATCGACAGTTGGGACATAAACACAAATATATATTTACTTATAGAAAAAAAACGCACAAAAAAAAAAGAAAAAAAGAAAAAAAGACTAAAAACAGAAGCAACCGCAAAACTACAGGAGGAAGACGCCCAAGGCGGATACTTTATTTCATGCATTTCATCCTTTTATTCTGTCTTTTTGTTCCTCCGTCTCCTTTGCAACTCGGCCTTCTCTTTGCATCCTTGCGGCCAAACGTCATTTTCGCACCCAATCAGTTCAGCACGTGCGAGTTCACGAGTTCACACCCGTGCATGTGGATGGCGTACTTCTGCAGCATCCAACGGGCGCCAACATCTGCCTTCAGTTCGCTCAGCAAAGAAACGCCACTGCCTGCTGCATCCTGTATGCGAGCCGTATTCTCCTCCATGACACACGGCGCCGGGAGCACGACATACACAAATTGTCCATCCTGGGAGAAGAAGCAGCACTGCAATTCGTGTCCCATTGTGCAATTCAAACCAAGACTCGGTGACGCACACGACGCAGTGGACGCCTTACCCACCGTCACCTGAGCAAAGCTCCGCATTTCCGAGCCAGTGTATGGTAGCAATGACTCATGGACTACTAATTCACTACCGCCTGTGGAGGAACATCGAAAAACATGCAGCGTACCCCGGTTACTCAGAGCGGCAAGCCGCAGTCCCGACGAAGCACACGATGTGTCAAATGAGAGAGAAAGCATCCGTGCAGCTTTCACACCGCGGCGAAAATGGCACAACAGCCGGGCAGAAGAAGGCTCAAAAACTTTTACTGTTGTACCTCGCTCCGAGGCTGTGGCAAGTCTCGTGCCGTCCCGCGTCATTGCCATACATACCACCGCACGATGATGTGCCTTTACAATAGAAACGCGCTCAACAAAACCGCATCGCTTCCCGCCAGAGGCGTTCACCACATCCGTCCATTCTCCCTCACGATCCATCGGCTTCTCAGTGATTTGGGCCACCCACACATCCCCATACCCCTGGTCCGACTGCGGGAATGCCAAATAGCTGACAGCTTCGCCATGGACGTTGGTTGTCAGTTCTGAGAGCACAAGAAGACCATTTGGGTTTGGCGGGGATGCCGTGCGCAACTCCGCAAGGCGTTCCAGAGTTAAAAGGTCAAAGACGTGGATGCACTCCACCAGAGCAACGACCAGGCGCCTCGTGTTCATCTGAATTCCTACTACTTCAGTCTCAAAGTGCAACTCCGCCATTCTCTGACCCTTGGACGCATCGTACAGGCAAAGAACACGCGAGGTCGATGCTACAGACGAGGTCGACCTGCCACTCACTGCTGCTCCCTCCAATTCCCCTTCGGAAACCAACTCGGACGTCACACCACCCTCAAGCACAAATGCAATCAGCGGGGTTTCACCAAGAACAGCAACCACACGTACGGGGCCACCCACCGCACGACAACCGCGAGTTGCTGGCGTCTCGCCCGCACTTGGAATTATTTTTTTCACGATCCCCAATGAATGGACATCATACGCCCTGAGACCATCTGCGCATCCGAGAAGGAGGAAACGCCCCCCAACGCTGGCAGCAATAGTTTGAACGACACTCGACATATATTCTGTTGCTAAAAATGCTCCTACTCCCTCCTTTTCCTCATCCAAGTCAATTGTCTAATCCTTTTGTTATCCCTTCTCCCCCTTTTTTTTTTTTTTTCTTACGTACCGCAAAAAAAAAAAAAAAAAAAAAAAAGGAATATACACGCACACGCCTCCACGCACATGCATGTGTGAATGCACACAATAAAGAAAGATAAGTAAATGAGTTATGAGAAAAAATAAATAGCTCGCAGCACCATACTTTCTTTTTATTTTATACTTCTTTATAACCTCCACAATTGCGTGTGTGCTTGTGTGTACCGTAGCGTAACTGCCGGGGATACAGGGAGCGGAGGGCGCGGTGAGGCACAAAACAAAAAAAATTAAAATTAAAAAAAAAAAAAATGCGTCAATAAAGGTGCTGTCCCCATTTCATGTGTACTCCTCCCTCACAACTGCCGTCATTTATCCCTCGTCCTTTCCTCCCCCCTTAAGCGTACATCCGCAACACTGTTTGTTCTTGCCGGTGTTCATTTCCTTTCCACTCACAGTTTCTCGTCGAAACGTGGAGCTTGTGCCTCCCCTCCCCCCTCTCCCAGCCATTTAACCGGATCAGGCCTCACAGTAAAAAAAAAAAAGAAAAAAAAAATTGGCAACACAGGAATCAGCAGCAAAAACAACAAGGAAAAAGATCCCACCCTACTATCAGACACCCGCATCCGGCGCGGTCGATGGAATGACAAAAAGGCAGAGAGAAGATCAAAGCCGAGGCACCGCACACACACAAACACGCAAAAACAACAACAACAAAAAAGTGGCTGGAAAACACGAGAAAAAAGGTGAAGAAAAGCAAGAAAATGACGTGAAACAAAAAAGCAGTCTCAATGACACATGACCGCATCGTAAGCAGATTTATGCACGTAAATATTATGGAACTAAAGTGAGACCGCCACTACAACTGTGGAGGGTCCTCAAACAACAGGTTTGCTGCACGTTCCAAACTTCGCTTAGCCTTGAAGAAGGCCACTTTGCACTGATCCCTGGTGAAGCCAAGCTGCATCAACTGCTCAACCTTCGCCTCTTCCTCCTCCGTCAGTGGCCTCTCCAGGTAGTTCTGCGCCTCGGTGCTCTCATCGTCCGCCTCCTCCGACAGGCCGCCCCTCACCGTGAACTGCGCCAAAAGGGAGCTGACGGCCTCCTCCACCTCCTCGTCAAGTTCTTCCTCCTCGCCAAAAATAGCCGCATGAGCCTCCTCCTGCTCCCGCTGCAGGGTCTCCACGAGGTCCTCATTGTTCACGAGGTCGAGAAACTCCTGATAGTTGCTCGTGATGAGCTCTAAAAGGCGCGGATCACGCTCCTGAATTTGCTGCATAATTTCGGCCGGATTGGACAGAAACTGTTGTCGCATTTCCACAAGATTCGGGACCGTTTCAAGAAGGTGACTCAACAGCTCCGCAGGACCGTCTTCCTCTTCTTCCTCCTCCTCCTCATCGTCGTCACCTGCCGCTGTCCCGCCATCGCCCAAACCATCCGGCTCTTCCGCGGCGTTGGCATTTCTCTCAGGGACAGTCAACTCAGCTGAAGCGGGCGTTACCGTATTCGCCACTAAAGCCGTTGGGGCTGCAACCGCCTGTTTTGACTCGGAGCGTTGCTGTTGGTTGGGGCCCACCTCTGTACCCGTTTTTTGCTCCTTATAGACACCTCCCGTTTCCTCCTCTCTTTCTCTTTTCGCGTCTACGACTATCAAATCGCCATCGCAAATCCCACTGTCACGAAGCAGCACCTTCTCACAAGCAAAATCCGCGGTGTCGTGGACCATGCGAAAGCCGTGGACCGGTAGGCGGAAGTTGATTGCAATGGCGGCGCGCAGGTTACTAAGCGTCGCTGCGGGGTTGTGTATCACAAGCTCCTTCGTAATTTTGCCCTCGCCGCCCATAGAACAGTTCACCTTAAGCTTCATTGTACCTTTCTACACACGTGCAGGCGGCTCGTCACTCCCTACACAAGACACACGCACACACAAACACAAAAGCAACCAAAAAAAAGTTTTTTTTTTTTTTCTTCTGAAATAAAAATCAGACAGAAAAAAAATCCAAAAGAACCCGCGCAGACAGAGACACACGTAAACATAGTCCGACGCCAAAGTCCCACTGAAAGAAGAAACTCAACTCCTCGCTTTTCTCTTCTTCTTCTTCTTGTTCCTCCCTCTCCCCCTCTCTCTGTACTCTCAACTCCCGACAACATGACGGCACGAGAATGAGAGGGATGCGAATAGCAACAAACATCAACAATACACACACGCACAAACTGTTAGCGGTGTCGTATAAAATCCGCTTGTGTCGTTCCAAAAGGGCAATGACCACTCCCGGGAGGAGCCCAGACGGCAGTGGACAAGCCAGTGCCCGTCCACAGCGCCACATTCGGATCTATCCGCAGCAACTCCTCCATCGCCCATGAGGGATCCGTGAGCGGAGGACACCCGCGCACAAATCGTACCGCCATAGGGGCAGAGTTATCCGACTCGTCATCACTATCGTCGTCGTTGTTACTCTCCGTTCCTGTTTGCGGCCCGTTATTCGACGGACGGAGTTGACCCCTTCTCTTTTTCTGTTGCTGCTCTTGCCTGTGCAGATCTCGCAATTGCTCAAGCAGCACTGTTCGGGCACGAAATGCAAGAGGCCCACTCTCCGGCATTGCAGGACGCTCACTTGGCGGCAAATCCATTGCACCTCAACTAACAAAAAACGCCCCACAAAAAAAGAAGAAAAAGAAAAAAGGGAAAAAACAAAAAACGCAATAGTGTTTAAAAAAGGGAGCAGTCTCGCACACAACAAGATGCATCTCAGTTCTGGTTCTCAGCACTCCCATATCGACTGGTCCACTGCAGTTACGCTTAAAGATAGACGTCAGACAATCCCCCACCCGCGTGCGGATGGCTAGTGAAAAGTTAGCCTCACGGCCATCGACCGCGACGCTCATATGAGGGGAATACCAGAGAGGAAGAAGATGCATGTATTCGGGCAATGCCAGTGCGCCCCACAGCAACGCCAACAAGGAGAAGGGCAAGGCAGGAAAACAAAACAAAACAAAAAAACGCAAAGTAAAAAAAAAAAAAAAAAAAAAAAGAAAAATAAAGGAAAAAACAAAGAATTACCGCGTGTTGCCCTCCGTTTCTGTTTGCTGGCGGAGTCTCTCGCGTGCGGGCGGCAACAACAAAAAAAGAAATAGTTAATTTAGGCGGAACAGAAAACGGCAGATAGGCACGGAATTGTCAGCATTTCGCCCATCAGAAAAGAAAAGAAAAAATAATACAAGAAAAAAAAAAAAAAATAAATACAGCAAAAAGGGAAAAAAATGCGGGGGAATGAACAATTCGAACAAGATTCCTTCACACAATTCTCTTTTCTTTCATCCCTTGCGTTAATTCAGGCAGCGTCCTCAGCAAAGACAGAATGGATAAATGGGGATGCTGGTGCCTGTGGTAAGGATGTACACATCTTTCCCTTCCTCTGAAACCTCGCCCCATGCTCCGTGTGGCACGTTCATTTTCAATAGAAAACGGCACCAAAAGCACTCCTGAGTGCAAACCCAGTTGTTAGCCCTCACACTCATCAATTCCGCCAGGTCAAATGGTCTTTATGCGTGTATGTTTGTAGGAATTAACCACTCCCCACGCCTACGTCTTTCATGTTTCCCTCCATCTCTACCAAAGTTGACGAAGCACAACCGGGGTGCCGTGAAGTTGCACAAGCGCCGTTGGGGCGGAATTACTTGCCGCTCCGATTTCCATTCCACGCCGAGTGATTTTGGACGATCCCAAAAACAATTTTTTGTCGAAGACACTTTGGGGGCAAGACGCAACCTCGGGGGCGTGACAAAACGATTGGACTCACCACCTCTACCCACAGCAGCGCGTGCATGAGCATGATCCTCCGGCACTCGCCGGACTGCGTTGATGCGGGGCCTACTACGACTGGATGACACGTGGACTGCACTCCCTGCAGAATCTGTAAAATTTGATGTGTTGCCCCACGACGCTCCGCCCAGCGGCGTGTTGGGCATCGCATGCGAAAGGGAGATGATTGCACGATGCCCTACAAACCGCGTGCAGCGCGCCGGATCTTCTTTCGTGTTTGAGTGGAGGGTTAGATCCCCTTCAATTAGTGGGCCAACATTCCTCTTGCCTCCGCGTGACGGTGGCGCCTTTAAACCAAACAACTCGTTGAACCATTCGGAGTCCTCACCCCACGCCACGGTGTATGGCACCTCCTCTGCCACTGACGCATTCAGTGACTTCTCGGGTGCATTTATGCCTGAAATTGGTAGCGATACGCCAAGTGCGTCGTCCCTGTCAAGCACCCCGCCATTGATACCCTTCGTCACAATAGATTCCTCATCAAAGTGCACACGCCGACAATGACCCTCGGCCGCTGCCGCCGCAACTACAAAAATCGATGAGGAATCACGAGCTCTGGGTGTTTTCAAAATGCATTTTCCCGGTACGGCATTCCGCCAGGGGTACGCGGTGGCTGCTAGTGGAGGACTAATCGTGGCATCATTGCTGGTGATTGTGTCGGCCAACAAACTCCGTGTGAAAGAATACGCCGATCTTGCGCGCCGCCTTTGACTGCCGTGGTGTGACGGCGTTGAAACCCTTGCAATCCCGTGCGGTAGATGCATGCTTGTCCACTCGCTTTTTCCCACTTCCCCCGCCTTCCTTCCTGTTGGAAAGATCACTGCCGCGGACGAATGGTGCAGCTCTAATGGGTCTGAAAAAACGCGTGGAGCCCAGTGTGGGCGGCGGAGACGTACGCCGAAACGTGATAAAAATAAAACACACACGCAAGAGAAGAAGAAGAAACGAAGAAAAAAAAAAAAAAAAAGAAAAGTGGTAATGAAGTGCGAGAGAAATCATTTGAAAGCAAATCCACTCAACGCAGCATGAAATGACAACAACACCAAATTCAAGACAAACGAGGGACATTTATGCGGCCCTCTGAATATGCGGTGGGGGAAAAAACTTCAGGGCACGGCATCGCTGCACACGCATACATAAAGAAGAACATCCCCACCATGCACGCAGCCAAGCGCATGGTCAGAAACAACAGCAAATGAGCATGGAAGAACAAATGTGTGGCCGCATTAAAAGGGAAAGAAATAAACAAACGTCAACAACAACAAAAAAACATTTATTTATATTTCTTTCCTTCTTCCAGTTGATACCCGTCCTACAAAAGAAATGTAGAAACAACTCAACTTCTATTTTCTTTAATTTCATACACACACAAACACACACGCCGTACTTCATTTCCTTTCCTCATGGCCGTTTTGGTTCCGTTCAGTGTTCCCCTGCGTAATAATAATCCCCCGCCCCCTTTTTTTTGTCACTTTTATTTTCTTTTTCTTTTTCCTTCTCTCTTTTTTTTTTTTTTTTTGCTTTTCTTGTTGTTGTTGCTTTACTCCTCGCTCTGCTTCTGCTTCTGCCGTTTTACCCACGCCCCTCTCGCTATTGACCGTCCCCTGCATGAATACACGCATCCATCGCCATGGATCTCCTCCCAAATTGGAGGTTCCACCACTTTTTTTTTTTTTTTTCACACCAACAGCACCACAAAAACAACAACACACAAAAACGCCCACACACACCTCCCCACACACTACGAGAGGAAATCACACAACCGGCACGCCACACGCACCAAAGAAAAATGCAAAAAAAAAAAAGTTTTGTCCTTATTTGCCAGCAGCGTCCCTCTCAGTCGACTTTAATGCTCGCGTATATTGTGCGTACAAAACATATGCCAGAAGTGAGTCCAATCGCCCCTGCTGCAAGGCCGTATGCACATGAAAGCAGCCCCATGTACATAAAGTACAGTAGCGATGAGGCAAACGAGCTGATTGCGAGCTGCGTGCAGTAGAAGTAGATCGAGTAAATAAAAACATGTATTCCTAGTCCTCCCGAGAGAATAAAACTGATCCACCACCACTGATGGTTCTCGTAACACAAGACGTAGTAAAGGTGGAAAACCGTCATGAGGGCTGTAATGGCGATCCAAAGAAGAAAAACCAGCGCAAGAAAACCGAACACGTAATACACCTGGCCGGCCCACAGCGCCTGCAGTACGAAATTCAACTCCAAGATGATTGTGGAAAGAGGAAATATGGGAGGAATGACGTACAGAAACGAGGGACTGTTTGCCCACATCTGTGGTGGGATCTCACGCGCCAGACGGCCTACTCTCACAGGGTTTGCAGGTGGGTCCTGCCTAAACGAGAAGGAGGCGCCCAAAAAGGTCAGTGGCAGACTGATCAGCATCCACAGCAAGAAAATGGTGAAAAGGACGGAGAAGGATACGGTGTCTGTGGAGCCGTGAGCCCAATTGATCATGTTCGCAAAGGCGTAGACACCAAAAACAGTCCCAGGGAATGCACAACCGCAGAAGAACACGTGCTTCCATTCACGACGATTAAAATATTTAAGCAGGAACCCACATACGTATCCAGCCACAGTGGACATAAACACAAAGAGAATGATGATGGCAGTCAAAAGAGCACCACGTCGTGCAGGGGAAAGAAAACCCAACAGCGCAAAGAGCAACACACCGGTGAACATGGATAACACCTGGAAACCAGTACCCGTGAGTGAGGCCAGCAGTGGTGCTCGATCTGGGGGACGGAACACGTCGGCATGTACGAGTTTCCAACCGGTCTCCTCCTGATTATCCTCAGGATCAAGGGAATTGTAACGGTTAAAATCTTTGTGTAAGGCACGCATCAATACCGTGGCGACGGAGGTGGCGCACAAGATAACTATCAGTAAGCTACCGCAAACGTAAAGCCAATGAAAACTAGCACTAGTATCCGCAATTGAGCTATGAAGATAGGCGTCCCAACGTGTTGCCCAAATAACATTGGAAGGCTGCCATGTGACACTGTACGTCCAATACACCGTTGCGCCCTCACGCACATCATCTGTGCTGAGAAAGTTCATCTCACCCCGCCGGAATACCAGAGCCTCACTACAGCTATTTCCACCTATATCGTGCTTAATGCTGTGGGGAGTAACCCTTAGACCGACAACCATGAACTTTTCGCTGTCCCTTGGAGCGGTGTTGTAGTCAATGACAAAATCCAGGTGATTGTTGATAAGTGTCTTGCCCGCGCACTGACGTGGGACACCGATGGGGTAGCCGCGATAGTAGTTGTACTGCATGTCTTTTGATTGAAACTTACAGGAAGCAAGATACTCGGGCAGCCCATCCCCAAAGACGGGAAGATTATCAACGTTCATAAAGCCTCGGTAGCCTTTTTCAATGTACTTCTCCAGCTTATCAATATTATTCCTGATGTTGCGATTGTTAGCCACCACGTCGCAATCGGGGAGTTTTGTGCAGGTTGAGTTTTTCTTCATGTTCACCGAGTAAAGAGAGTTCTGTATGCGGTCTCCCCATATGACCTCCCCAAGGGCCTCTGGCTTCGTCTTGATGAACTCGGGCGCACAAAAGGGCAGATTGTAGTAGCCCTGTGGAAACAACTCCTTCAAGGAGCGGAGGGAATTCACCATAAATGGCACAGTCTCGCCCTCGCTGTAGTACTTGGGCTGCATGCCCGGAATGTAAAAGGCATCCGCAACAAACGGCGAGAATAACACGGCGGCCACAGCAAGAAGAAAAAAAGACACGGCAGAAGAAGTGCGCATCTATAATAATAATAATAATAATAATCAAACAAACAAAAAAGATTTTTACCCCCTCGAGAGGATTTCTCTCGCTGTACTATTCCTTCTTCAACGCTCGCCTTCCCTTTCCCCAATATGCGTCTTTTCTTCTATCCTGTTTGTTAATTGTTTCTCGTGTGACTGTTGTTAGTATTTATCAATATTATTCGAGGTGGTATTACTGATATCACTATAGAACTTGCTGGTCAGTTCTTACCAATTCAATGCTGCCTCTATTATTTCCTTCAGTGGTGTGCGGCGGTGCCACAGCGCAGGAAGAGAAAAACAGCCCAGAAAAGAATCCACGCAGGCAAGCGATTGTGCGTGAGAGAGTGGATGCCAGACAATCCCAAAGGGAAAGAGAGAGAGAGAGTGTGTGTGTGCGTTTCTGTCTTTCCATATATTTGCGCGTAATTCCTCCTTCGATATTTTTTTAGGGACCGCACACGCCCTCCTTTCTTGTTCACACAAACAAACAAACAAACAAAAGGAAGTAGCAAGGAGAGGCGTCCACACACAGCTACCATCACAACCAAAAAACACGGCTGCCACGACTACTGCCGCCGCTTCCTGGCGCTGCCTGGGCCCATCAACACCGCCTCTGTCACCGTTCGCGGTGACGAGCAGCCGTTCGAAAAGGAACATCCGTCCACATCCACCCCGTTTGCTTCCACCGCAGCTCCCAACGTTGCCATCATCACATCGCCATCGCCACCACCAGCCGAGCTACTGACGTTACAAACACCGCCACTACCGCCAACTGCTACTGCTGGAGCCGTGGGCAGCGGGAAGAAGATGTCCTGCAGCTCACGCCGCCCACACAAAAAGAAGGTCAAGCCATACAAAACGCAGAAGCCCGTGAGAACCGACACCCACCACGCGAACCCGCCTCCTGTCAGTCGCCAACTTGCAAGGCAACAAAAAACGTAGTACATCGCATACAATGTGAAGATGAAGTCCAGCGCAAACTTGCGACGCTGAATCGTGAGAGCAAGCGGACATGAAAAAAAGCATGCGGTCAACAAGTGCATAAGAAAGAAACGCATGGCGGAGCCGTCGGAAACATCATCTACTCTCACGGCAAAAAGAGAGCGGAGAGGCACATGAAAGCAATACCCCAATGAGGTGAAGAGTGGGACGGAGAGAGCGCTGCTGTCAATGAAAGTCAGGGAAAGAACACCAAGCACAACGCGCACGACGCCAAGCATGATAAAAAACATGCTCAGGGTATGCAAAATCTGAAGAAACACAAACTTTGGATCACTAAGAGGCGCCCCCAGTGGAATCGGCATCTTGCCCTTGTCTTTTTTGTTGTTCCACTCCTGCTTGTTTGCCGCCACCTCACTTGCTCGAGTGTTGTTGCCCAACCGCTATGCCACGCCCAAGAATGAGGTGGGGGCCCTCCAATGCAGCTCGGAGTGTCCTCTACCTTCTATTGTTGCCACTACTATTATTATTGGTATTGTTATTTTGTTTTTTCTCCCTTGTTTGGCCGCTACCGGGCCCACACCGCACACCTGCACACTTTATGTATGGACCAGAAAGTAACAGAGGCGACCAAAAAGGGGGTAGCGCAAGTGACACACACAACAACAACAACAACAAAAAAAAAAAAAAAAATCAGACGCGAAAAAAAAGCCGCAATATCCATCATTTTTTCTTTATCCTTTTTCTGGTCATCTGAATTTCCCTCGGAGATCTCTCCCCTGCCCATCCAACTGCTGTCACTCAGCAACGTATTACAACACGCCCTCCCTCTTTCCTTAGTCCAGCAGCTCTGCCTGCAGAACATTTGCCAAGGAGTGCTCCGACACCAGCAGTTTGTCTACAATATCTTGTGTGTCAACAGGCAGCGGCTTCAGCGCTGCCCAATGATCCTTCAAAGTGAGACGTAATTCGGTTATAGTGGCGAGTGACTCCGTGGATTTCATCACAACAGGTATGAATCCGTCCACAATCGCCATATTCGGCACATCGTCCGGGATAACCAACATTCTTGACTCATCACAAGGCGCACTAGCCAGTAGCAGCCCACACGGCGGAACAAACGTTCCCAACATGGGCAGTTCTTCTCCTTCCCCAGCGGAAGCGCCATCAAACGCACAAAACCACGGAAATGAAGAATGGCATGGTGACAGGGATGAGGATGCGGGGTCGGAAGAGGCATTACAGGACTTTGCCAAGTTGGGTGGCACGGCAATCTGTGCAGTGCGCTGACGATCCCTTGACTCCACAGTTATCAGGCGGAGTACGCCGTCGGCAGCAACCTTTTTCTGTATGAACGCCCTTGGAAATGTGGCGAAGGAAACAGCAAGGCGCAGGCGCCCCTCATCCTTTTTTCCCCATCCCTCCTGCAAGGGACCCCATGTCCCCTCTGAAACCACGCAAGAAGAGTCCACCAGTGTTGTCAGTATGTGAGACGGAGAGGTCAACTTCTTCAATTGCTTCGAAAGTTCACGGAGTCGTGCTGCAATGACAGTGGCGAGACGCTTGGCCTCTTGGGAAAGCTCAAGAGCGGCAAGTTCCACCACATCCCCGCTCCTGCAAACATCATTTTCACCAATGAATGAAGAGAGCACCAAGGCAACCACACGAATACAAGACTCTAAACAGTCTAACAATGACCCCGCAAAGAGGAGTTTGGCAAGTTGCAACGGAAGCGCACCAATCACCAGAGGTGAAGCTCCCTCACGCATAGGAAGCAATGGCGGCAAACATAAGGAAAATAATGCCACAGCCACTCGTATCGCATTTGCCTCAATAGTCTTTTTATTTTTTTCGTCCCCTCCTTGGGTTTTCACCAGCCCCATTGTACGCAAAAGATGTTGTGCCGCTACAGGCAAATTCAATGGGGCAGGTGTCGGCATGGAAACAAGTTCACGCTCCACGATATTAAAAAGCAGTCGCAATTCTGGCGAGTCTAGGTGCTCTTCGCCTCCCCGTAGCAGCGTTGCCACCCCAGCTCCTTCAGGGAACTCCTCCAGTGGCAGCGGGATTGCATCCTTTTGCCCCGCCAGCACAGACCGAAGGTCTCTCATGGTTTTTGTCTCGAAGAGCATGTGAGCAGCGCCCTCGGCACGGAGTGCCGGGTACGTCTGCAGCAATTGTGCGACCGCCTGGAATGTGGCCTTGCGTTGCAGCTGTTTGTAAAGTTCAGCAATTGCCCTATTGCGTGACTCTTCGGCATGAATGCGGTCCTCTCCTTTTCCTGCCATGCGCAGCCCACTCTCATCTTCCATTTCAACAAGTGAGACGTAAACCAACTGAACCCCCGCCGCCGAGTTATTGCGTTCCTTTAGTGTCAGACGTAGTGGCAAAAATGGGGCTCGTAACGTTGAGTGGAGTGCCATGATGGCCAACTTCCCACGTGGTGTAAAATCGCGAAGAGTGGGATCAAATAGATCCCCATGCCGGTTCCTCAAAAAGTTCCCTGTTTCTGAATTCCCCTGCACTGTGCCACTGATTATCCCCAAAATGTATTCGTAGTGCATCGCCGCCCGCGTCACGGCCTCTTGTCCTTCCTCACCCATTCCACGAGCCACAAACGGAGTGCCAAGAACTGGCTGCTCAACCAAATAACGTCGGTGTGGGGGTCGGCCGTAGACTTCAAAGCGAAATGACAAGGGCGGCGGTGCCGGTAGTCGGGCAGCAGCACACTTTTGTGGCAACCTAGACTTGACGTTCGTGAAGAGTGGCAGGGCTTCGACGACGTCAAGGCCATTATCCTCTAGATCCACACCACTTCTTGGCGCTTTCCCCTTAGTAAAAAGAGCATCCCATACAACCTGTTCCTTCATCTTCTTTATGTATCCACGGCACGCCGTCACATAACCTTGCCATACGCGTGGCTTGTGGCATTCTCTACGATTTGGGGGTCTCGGCAACGGCGGCTTCTCCATGTGCATGTCTGGAAGACTTTTTAAGCCTGGCGGTGACTTCGTATTCGGGGGCCTCAACGGATCACCAGGATTTGGGGCATGGCGTCCTTTTGACTTCGCGATAGCCGCATACTCAGCCTGTTTCGGCCCAATGTAAATAGGTATCCCCAGTTCTCCGAGAACATAAACAGCGTGCATGCAACATAAAAAAAAGGCATCTTTCTTCGTTAAAGCACATCCCAAGGCGTAGCGTCGGCCAAATTGTGGGGGCACCGGTATTTCCATAATGGCTCGATGAACAAAGCCGTAAAGGGGATTGCAAACGTTATATTGCCGCATACAACGAGAAATATCTACCCCTTGACGTCCACAGTAACCTTCAAGCAAACGTGGTGCATGGCGAAAGAATTCAGAGGGGTGAACAAAAACCAATCCCGCCAAGTCGAAAAGTGCGTCGTCCGTCACTCCTGGAGAAGGCGAAACGGCTTCTGCTTTTCTCGTTGCTGTGGCATCCGTGTGATTCTCTCCGTCTGCTGCCTTATAATTCCCATCCGGTGGATGAGTTGATGACACTGTTTGCTTTATACCCTCGCCACAGGGTGCTGTGCCCTCTTTCCTTGTCTCCTTTGACAGGCGCGCCCACAGGCACGAGTCCGCGTGCTCCTTTCGCACCGGTGGAGGAGTAGGCACAGCCCTTCGTGTGGAGTGCGTCTCGTACGGCGCCCAACGACCGAGCATTCCGGCGGCATCGCAGTGCCTTTCCTGCAAAGCTTGAAGATCGTAAAGCGCAATTCCGAGTTCGTCAAGAAGAAGTTCGGCATGCACAGCGCACATAACGAGAGCCTCCTCCTCCGTGTAAGCCTCCCCGTGTGCCACAACGTGACCAAATGCCTCCGGGACCGGAAGTACAACTTTTTTCACCCATCGTTTCAGTCCTTCATCTGTCTCAAGCATAGAGCTCGTCACAGCGACCTCCAACCGCTTCCCATGGCGCTCCAAGTAGTCCCTCAATCGGACTAGCGCAAAGCGATCCGCCTGACGGACCGAGGGAAGTGTGTGGACGTAATTTCGAGTCTCTTGCACGTTAACGCTTGGGTTTTGAATGATATATCCTTCCGCATCGGCATCCAACGACCAGTCACTCTTTGGCAATCCCGCTCGTGCGCCTTGAATCCGCGCCTCATGGTACTCTGACGAAAAACCACGCTGCCGCGCAGCCAGCGGTAAACCACCAATGTTTCTTGCTGGCGAGAGCCCTGGAACCACGATGCGGCCGAGATGAGCCACAACATAGCGGTAGGGCGGCGGAATGACTGTATCACGGGTAAGATTACGCTGCTGGAACTCCTCTCGGCCGAAGGTTGAACTTCCCAACAGCGGGCGGTCAAGTGATTTGAGCACACTGAGGGCATGCATGGAGGCGGTGGTTTCAGCCTCCATCTCTGATGTACCAATTCCAATGGCCACAAAGGATGACACGGCGACATCATCACCATCATGAACACTTGCCGGCCCTGTAGATGCCGTTGTACCCGCCACGAACGGAACAGGGACTGTTACCGTTGCCCGATAAACCTCGTGGCCCTTCACACCGAGGCTCTCCACAAAAAATAGGGAACCCACTTCCTTCGCGTCTTCCCGGTATTGCGCCATGTAACTCACAAAAATGTGGTGGGCAGCTGGATCAATTCTTTGCAGCTCCGTGACGTTTTCAAACTTCTCAATTGCCTTAGCGTGACTCAGGAGAACAGATTCCAGAGAGGCCGCAGAGTCCACCTCGGCTGCCGTCTTCACAGAACTTTCCTTAACAAGCTGAAGGGGCGGTGGAGAGGGCTTCGTGAAGTGATATTCATACCCACAAGGCCCGCTGCACCAGCGATTTACCTTTCGACACTCATCCGCATGAGTCTCTTGCTTCTCCTTGTCAGAAGGATACAATGCAAGTCCTAGTGCATCGATGATGAGCTCGGCATGCATACATGCAAGCGCAATCGCTTCCTTCTTTGTAGGTGATTTGCCACATGCAATGCGCTCGCCAAAACGCCCATCAATAGGAAGCCTAATTTGTGCAACAAACATCTTATTATTATTATTATTATTATTATTGTTATCAGCACCTGTATGGGAAAAAGCTTCTCCACTACCACTACCACCAAATTTTTCCTTCGAGACGCATTTGTGGAGAGGCGTCACACGAGAGTATCGCTGAATATTGCAGTTGTATGCTGCGAAAAACTGTTTTATACGGTAAACGCTTCCATAGTCCAGTAAGAATGGAGAAGCCAACGTCAACTTCATCGACGTAAACGCACCCGCCGTAACGTTAGAGAACTCCATCTTGTCAATCTGCAGCCGCCGTTCCACCTCCTTCGTCGCTCCCTCTCGCAACAGCTGTAGTCGTGGCGGGGAGGGAGTACTGGGAGGTCGGGGATCATCTCCGGGCATTGGCGCCCATCGCCCCGCGTTTCTAGCCGCCTCGGCATGTCGTTTCTGCTTCGATGTGAGCTGAAACATGGGGAAGCCCATGGCGTCAATGACACGCTCCGCATGCATGGCCGCCACCAGCTCCGCCTCCTTCTCTGTGGAGGCCAATCCTTCCCCCCAGCGCTCGCCGTACTCGGGAGGAAGCGGAACACGAACCCTCGCGTGGAACAGCTTCTCCTCGTCGCCCGCTGTCTGCACCTCCCGCACTTCTGCCAACAGATGGCTCGCCGAAGAAGACGTCTCACAGGCGCTGTGCGGCATGCGCTTAGCAAAGTTTGCCACTTTTGCTCGAGCAAAGGTGTCAATTGTCGTGATCGTCTCCGCGGCGGCGTCTTTGCTCGCCTCGTACTCCTCCAACTCAGGGAAGTCCTCCACGTCGTCACCGTCCACGTTCGTGCGGCTTTTATTATTGCGGCTTTCATCAACGTCATCTGGCAGTAGCAGCTCCACCTCCAGCACCTCTGGGGTTCCACCAGACAAACACAACAGCGGCCTTGTTGGCTTCGTTATGCAAAAGGCCCGACATCCGCCCGGCCACAATGCGTGGAAGAGCGCGGGTCGCAGCAGTCGACCAAACGCCGCGTTGAAGGATGATCGCATTGCGTTCCACGCAAACAAAGACAAGATTTAAGACGGCTGCGACGCGCAATTTCTTTTGTTCCTCCTACTTGAGCGGTACTGAAGTTATCTTTGAACTTCCCCCCTCGCCGCAATGGAGAAAAGAAAAAACAACAACAAAAAGAAAAAAAGACTTTCATGAAATCAACAGAACGGAATGACGGGCAGCGAGGCAAAAGGAGAAAAATTCGCACTCCGCCCAATTTTCAAATTTTTTTCTTTTTGTTTATTCTCCTCTTTTGCCCTCCCCGTGACTCCTCTTCGCTTCTCGTAATTGTCGGCAGGGCAAAAGTAAACGGGCGAATGCGTTCCAACATTCTTTTTTTTTTTTTTTTTATTCTCCGCTCCCTCCTCGTCTTTCTTTTTTATTTTCTTATTTTTTTTTTTTTTTTCGAGGTTGCCGGCGTTTGTTCTCGCAACGCAGCGGTTTTGACTGGTGGGCATCCGGCACGGAAAGGCAGTGAACGACAGTCAAAAACAACGACAACAAAATGGAGGGGGCCTGCGAGTCGCACCTCCCGCGAACACACACAAAAGTTTTTCCCTCGTCTTCTTTTGGAGTTGCTTTTTTTTTTTTTTTTTTTCCCTTTTAATGGCATTCCTTCCCGATTTCCTCCTCCTGCTGCTGCTCCTGCCCCCCTCCCACAGACATCTGTACGGCAGCTCCACCGCCACACACACACACACACACACACAGCTTTCACAGTAACAAAGAGAAACTACGCGGCTTCCATTGCCTCCCCGTTGTATACTCCCACAGTACGCCTCAGCTTGTGGTAGTACTCCATTGTTTCCTGAATGAGCTGCAGCCTCGAGATATTCCTCAGCGAGGCACAAAAAAACAGCGGCTGCAGAAGAACACCAATAACAAAGATGATGCACAGTAGCATGAACTCGGCGGCCGCGGTAAAATACATCTTTGGGTTAAATACAAAGAAAACAATATTCGCAGAGAGACATAAGAGCGGCACCGAGTACGGCAAGACCGTTAGGAGCGGCGTCATCACTGCCATGGGGATTATCCAAAACAGCGCACTAGAGGTGACAAAAAACAAAAACGAGAAAAGAGCAACACGCAACTTCAGATACTTCGGGTGCGCGGTTCCCGGCGGCAAGGCCCACTCCCGACGCCTGAATACCGACGGCAGACGCGCCTCCGGCAAAGGGATATCGGACTGACCATCGCCACGCAACCAGCTGTCAAGAAGAGAGAGACGCTCCTTGTCGAAAAGATAATCCTCCAAGTGAACAACATGACGCCCGATAAACATTACAACATGCCGGAGAACCTTCAACTGCATGTGTTTGATAGGGAATAACCTCACACAGACTATAGCCGTCCCTGTGCCAAAAACAATTAATGTGTTTGCCACACACCTCAACCAGTAAGGGTTCCTCGTGAACCACAGTATCACACCCAGCGAGAAACGCGCAAAACAACTTCCCAGCAACTCTATGAGAAAAAAGAAGAATTGATAATAACTTTCCAACAACCGACTCTTTTCCGGGGCAAGATAGGATTCTAACCACGCACTGATTCCATCGACTGCTGGTGTCACCATGATCACGGGAAATCCAGGGGCGAGCGGCGGCGTGAGGGTACTATTTGCTCCATCCTTTATCATCACCTCATGTGCGGCAAACATAACGTAAATTGGAGTCGCCAAAAAGACGTACAAGAGTGTCATTTCAATGCAACAAAAGCGGATAAAATCAAGGGAGACACCAAGCGGGTCAGTATCAAAGACCTGGGCCAAGACAAATTTCCAGTAGGCTGTATCATCCTCCAGGTTCAGGTCCACACTACGAACAAAATATAACTCAACGCCCGGAGCAAAGAGGGGGACGATGATGGCTGTCTCCACATGCAGCAAAATCATGGAACAGAAGCTCCCTACTAACCAATAAGCCAGAAGTCGTGTAAGTGTCAGTTCACCAGCGAATGCCGACAACGATGCCGGAAACGTTAGAAAGTACGGGGATAAGGCAAAGTGCACAACGATGCCTCCACAGGTGGTCATCAGAATTGAAAACAACACCAACTCAGAGAGGTAAGTAATAAACCATAAGGCAATGTCAATTTCCGTCGCACCTGTTTTCCTCTCTTGCGCCTCTGCAAAACGACGGGTCGGATCATGAATTCGTTTCCTCGGATATAGAAGACGCCTAAGAACCAGACCCAACACCAGAATTAGGCAGAGCAGTAGCTTCCCAAGAGAGAAATTCACAAGAAATGAAAGAGGCACGAGTGTCCCAAGCTCTAATATCCGTGGACGTAGCATCTTTTGCGAGCTACCCGTACGCTCCAAGGACCAGTCCAAAATCCAATGTAACGTCCCCACTACCGTGTTGGGTTGCAGTCTGGGGCCCTCTTCCTCATCTTCGTCGTCTTCCTCATCCTCATCCTCATCCTCCTCCTCATCGTCGTCTTCTTCTTCCTCATGTACCTCTTCCGTCGCCGTGGCAAACATCGCATCTGTGTCTTCAAAAAAGGCACGCCACTGGCACCACCCTGTCTTTGTACATCGCCATAACGTGACACAAATCCAACCGTACGCCATAACGTTAATCCACAGCCAAACATCAAGGAATGTTGAAGCGCCATCCTCTGGACCCTGCAACAAAGCAGTTTCACTGCTATTGCTTGAATATTCACTGGTTCTCGTTGCGGCATCACCATTGTTAACAAAAAAGCACTTGTGATAAAACGTGACGCCAATAATACACGGTACCACAAAACCGTTCAGCGCGATGCCAAGCAGGAGTGCCAGAGCCTTGGCAGAGAGGGGCAAAATCAAATCCCAAAAGAAAAAGCACAACTGTTCAAAAAATGTCTGCGGCAAACTTACATCACTGATCGCAAGAATATTATAAGTTGCTCCACAGCTTGGGCAGCTGGCGCGACGCCGCGAAAACACCCAGGCGTCAATGCATTCACGGTGAACCCAGCCAACGGATCCGCGACATTTGCACACACTCGTGATCAAGGGGTTTTGGGTGGTACCTCCCCCAGAACGACATATCCAACACTCCATTTCGCCGTCGTGGTCCGCGTCTGGAGTCTCATGTGCATCCTCATGAAGGATGGACGCCGCGGGTTCGTGTCGTTGTGGCTGCTGCTCCTCCTCCTCCTCTTCGTCCTGTGAGACGCCGGAATGTTCCGTGTTTCGTTCTTGTCCCGTGGATGGCAACATCCGTGTGTTGTCCCCGGCTTCTTTGGATGCCTCCTCTCCCTGGGATGTCGGATACGACATGAACCCCACACGCACTCAGCGTACGGCGACAGAAACCCGCCCAACCGTGGCTCGCCCCTTTCGCAAAAAGTCCGGCGTCGGCCTTCACTCCACTCCGCCTGAGTCCTGACTTCCTTCCGCCTCTTTGTTTTTCCTCTTTTTTTTTTTTTTCCTTCGTTTCTTTTCGTTTGCTTGTGATGTGCTCCCTACTGCTCCTGCAGCGGCCCTCCCGAAGACGCAGCCCTCCCACTCCGAGGAACGACAGAGAAAAAAAAAAGAGAGGGGGAAAAGAAAAAAAAGCACAACAAAAGAAAAGTAAAACGGCCCCGTCCGCCTCCACGCCGCCCCGCAAGATCCCCCAAACCGAGTGTGGGGGTGTGGAGGAAAGAGAGAACGCACGTGGAGCAACAGTCACATGAAACAAATTGCAGAAAAAGACGGGAAAAGAGAGCAACTATTAAGTGATGCCTGAAAAGCAAGCATCGGAGGCAAAAAAGCAAGATCGCACGGTGAAGGAGAAAAAAGGAAACAAAACTGATGCTTCTTGCTTTTGTATTTCTTTCATTTGAGGAAAGAAGGCATTTCGCCACAGAAAAAAAAAACAAAACAAAACAAAACACAGACTCAAAAGCAAAACAAAAATGATTTCTACTTTTTTTTTTTTCCTCTTTTAATGGGGGATTAAAATCAACTGCGGGTAAACGCGGTGCCGTTAAACATACATTAATACACGCGGTTTCTCGCAATTTAAAGAATTTCAGGGGTCTTGAAAAGAACACACGACTGCGGTGGACTCAGCTTCTCTTTTTTCAAGGTTCTTCACATAAGCCTCGTACACAAGACGCTGAGGGCAGCTGTTGCGCACCTCCTTGACAAAACGACTATCCGCAACGTACAGAATACGATCCGCATAGCACTCAACATCGGGGTTGTGTGTCACCATAATACACGTCGTCTTTGTAATGCGGTTGAGGTGCACAAGAAGATCCATCACCTGGATTGTGTTCAGTGTGTCCAAGTCTCCGGTAGGCTCGTCCAGGAGCAGCAGCTGCGGGTTGTTGGCCAGGCTGCGCGCGATGGTGACCCGCTGCTGCTCGCCACCACTGAGCTCCGACGGCAGGTGGTGCAGGCGGTTACGCAACCCGACAAGAGCCAACAATCGAAACGCACGAATTCGCCTCTTCTTCGCGGACAAGGCACCCAGCAATGTCATGGGCAGTTCCACGTTTTCCAACGCTGTCATTGTTGAGATCAAGTTAAAAGTCTGAAAGACAAATCCAATTTTACGCAGCCGAAGGTCCGCCAATAAACTGTCGGGTGTACTGCCGTTTATCACCGTCCCCATAAGCTCGATGGTGCCGCTTGTCGGCAGATCAATGGTACCGATGATGCTCAGCAACGTCGTCTTACCTCCGCCACTGGGTCCACGAATCATAACAAACTCACCGCGGCGAATAGGACCAAACCCGTCCCGACCGCAGTCCTCGCACAAATTCAAATTCCTCAGCGCCACCACGCGTTCTTCTGTGCCCTCGATGGGATAACTCTTCTCAAGTCCGCGCAGACGCAGCACAACTTCGTTCCCGTCTTCCTCAGAGACTGCGTCACTCACCTCCGGCACAAGAATATTCGGTTGATTGCGCTCCTCTTGATTCCCACCGTCCCCATCCATCTCATTGAAGGGGTTAGAGCGCCATTCACCGCAGTCACCCATTTGCCGCGGCACGAAAAACAAAAAACAAAAACAAAAAACAAAAAAAGGGGAAACGAAGAAAAAGTCACCCTACCAGCCCGTCTCTCGCTACCTGAAAGCTGCCAACAATGGCACCTTCGCAAGAAGTATGATTAGCCAGGCACAAAGAAGAAAAAAGAAAATGGTGGGAAAAAAAGAGGGTAAAGTAAAAATACCAAAATACATCCCGTAACTCCCAGAGGACTGAGAAACTCATAAGCCCTGGATTCAAAAAGAAAAAAGAAAAAAAGGAAGCAGGTGGGGAAGAAACTAGGCATACATGCATAAATGCACCAACACACATAGATAAATAATTGGCAAAACAAGGAAAAATTAAAAGCGTCAAAGACGCTGCAATGACTGGCTCATAGAAAAGATTATGCCAAAGAGTAACTGCTTTCAGATGCTTCGTCCTGTTCATTGAACCCTCTTTGGACTCACCACTTCCACACCGGCCTCAACACTTACCATGAATCGTAAGCATGCATGCCGTTCCTCAAGCAGCTCCCGTTGACGCCTCCCCCAGCTCATGCGTCCCAGAAAATGCCGAAATGGACGAGAAAAGCCCATCGCCAGATTCCATTCTGGCATCGTCCTCAGCTCCAATACAAACACTGGATGACGTCAGCACCATCACCTCTTCCGTGGGAATCGCTGCCAAGGCAAGGTCTTCACGGGGCCGCCAGGTGAAGAATAGCGGAACCAAAAAAAACCCAGAAGCAACAAAAACAAAAAGCAACAGCGGCGCAACAAAAGCCGAGAGTCCAGTGCGACCTTCAGAAGTATCATTTGTTCTGTTTAAAAAATCTCCAAAAACTGAAAGAGGGACTTCAGAAGAAAGATCACTACCGCAGGAAATCAATAAAAGCCGATCATCCGTGTCAGGAGTCTCGTATATATCCTGTGGCTCACTCTTTGCGAGATACGCCGCTGCACGGTAGCCTGCATTACCATTTGCAGCTGACAGCAATGATGCATTGTTGAGAAGTGTGAAGGAGATGTTCAACTCGCCTTTTGGGGCACTCAATCTGTAACTCAGACTTATTCGAGCATATTTACAATCGCTTGTCCATCCAATTTTTTTTTCCTTTTTTATACTAATAGTTCCACTGGGAGTGCTGCGTATCGCTGCCGCCCTCAGTGCCATTTCTCCTTGCTGCCTTGTGAATATACTGCTCTCAAGTGCTAAATAGACATCGGTTCTTACCCAGTTGGGCGACTGATGCTTAAGGTTCAGTTGTAACTCCTCATTGACAAGAGGGGTGAAGTAAGTGGCACCTCGTTTGTCCTCCTCCTGCAGCTCAATGACTTTGTTATCACTACCCACCTCCACCCCGCAGTCCCATCCTGCCCGCCCCTCATTACAGACGCAAAAGCCTCCGCCCCACACGTCACAGAGGGCATTTTCAACACATGGAACCGTGCAGTTTGAGTTATTTGGCCCCTCGAAACTGTAATGCATTAAAAATCCCTTACGAACATGAGACCATCGGGAAGAAAACACAATAGCAAGAGCATTCGATGAAGAAAGGAAGACCAGACCTTGAGCGCTCGTGCCGGTGTCTACACGTATCGGTTCCGCTTCATCCGATGCATCATCATAGAGTACAACGATATCCGTCGGGCTCTCCACTTCAAAGCGGAGGTATTGCAATCGAATTATACGACCTCTTGGCGCTTTAACCACCCATCGACAAACTAACATGGGAGAATAGGTGCCATAACCATTCACCTCAATGTATCCACCGGCAGTGTCATTGGCCTCAAAAGGCCACCCATCCTCCCTGCACCAGTAACTTCGCATATTGCATTTTTCTCCAGCAAAGTCTTCGCAGCAATACTCGCAATTTGGGCCAGAAAAGCAACCAGACCCACCCCATGTTTTGTCTTTTTGGCAGATGCATTCTCCGGTCTCCATGTTACACTTACCCCTCTCGCTACAAGTACAATTGGAAGAACACGATGGCCCGTACCATCCTGGTTTGCATGATGAACAATGTTCATCGGCAAAGTGCTCATTGTCACATGTACATTGCAAATCCTTTGCTGCGCATGTCCCATGTCCATTACACATGGCTTCCTCATCACAAAAAGAACAGTCGATAAACCGATACCCAGTGTGACACTCACAGATACCTCCAAAGCAATTTCCATTCCCACTGCAATTGTTGGGACACAATACACCGGACATTATACTAGCATTATCGACATAACTCAAACCAGGTCCAGATACAACAAGAGCGTATGGCTGATTATTTCCTTCATGAACACTACCGCCATACACAAACACACGGAACCCTGCTGCTAACTCCCAGGAGATTGGTAAACAAATTTGTTCCATGACATTCGTGGTGTCCAGGGTTTTGTTTTCACCGGCAAAGTACACAGCACCCTTGGAATCCACCAATAGCACGTCAAGATTATTGACCAAAGATATGGCAGAGCCCTCCATCGCGGATCCGATGTCTGTCCATACAAGTGAAACACGTATTTCATTCACGTCAAGTAAATTGGGCCCCAAAGTGAAATGGTGCACTTTGCTGGCGTGGTGACCAATCGAGTCTCTGTCTCGAAACCATCCTATTATGCCAGTTGGGGTAAAAAAAAGAGACATGTCAAGACGACCAAAGCCACTCAGCCTTGAGTTATTTAAATTCACAGTACAGTGAATCAACAATGCCTTGAGTAATGCAGAAGAAGGAGACGAAATGTTTTCCAGCGTTCGGAGATGCTGACGCATCAAGGCCACCGAGCCCGCTAAGGCTGCAGTTGCCATAGAAGTCCCTCGCATGCTAACGACCGCACACTGGTTTGTGGAAATGTTACCATCTGAGAATGCAGAGGTGATTGTGTCTCCCGGTGCCACAAGTTCCGGTTTGACACGATGATCATACGTCGGTCCAGGAGAAGAAAATTTCGCAATGGTGTTTTGGGTATTTGGGTCAAAAGTATTTTTGTGTGCCCCAATACAAATCATGTTCTTGGTTCGACAGGGTGTTAACAAACCAGAGTTGGGACTGTTCCCTGCCGCAAAAACAATTAGAGCATCGTCCATTTGATTTGCAAGGGCATCCATGCTCTTTTCCACCGCTGTGTACTCGTCCGGGGCAAAAAAACCCCATGAGTTTGAGAAGATATGCGCCCCCTCTTTATAAGCAGGACGGAACACCTCAGTGATGTCAATAGGAAGCGTCAGCAACGGCTGGCTGGGAACACCGAGGCTTGTAAAGAAGATCTTCGCTCCTTTGGCGACACCGTTGTATTTGGAGTTCTCATCGTCGTCAAGAACATGTCCCGCCAACGTTCCTGCCACGTGCGTACCATGTCCTCGTTTCTTGTCGCCAATCAACCTTTCTCCAGGAAATAAATCGCATGGGACAAATGATATCACCTTACGGTGGCGGTGGTTTACCTCTGGGTAGATCGCCACGGACTCCTTGGGGTCGCTGAAGAAACAACTGTCGAAGTCCACACCGCTATCCGCCAATCCGACCAGTTCCCCACTGCCATCGATTCCCGCGTCCCAGAAGGGACGAAACGGTTCTCTTTCATCCTGGTTCCCATTCTGCACAAGGGCGGTCGCATAGAAGTTCAAGGGGGCAACATGTTCAATAGCCACTTCCATCCATCGCACCGCTGGATGACTCACTACCGTATTGATAAAGGCGGAGCAGTGACACACGACATCCATCTCCTTTTCCTCCTCCTTTTTCCCCCCAGAAGAGAGTGTCAACACCCATCGTACAAGTCCTTTCCCAGCAACCGAACTAATAATGTTCCATTGGCATTTCGCCGAAACATTGCTTGTCTTCCTCGACACACTTTGAAGTGACCGCTCCACAACGTTTTCTCTCCCCAAGGCAGTACGAACATCCAGCGGCAGACGCCATCTTAGATCCATTTCTTCCATTGGCTTATTATCAACAGCACTTGTATCATGCCGAGCACCGCAGCGGTGCATGGAAAAGCGAATTGCACGAGAGAGCTTAAGGCGCGCTCCGGTGGGTGTGGAGTAGACGTCCAACACCGTCAATGACGTGAGAGGCGATACCCCGCGATCCTCTGCCTCCAAAGCCGCTCGAATTTGAGCGGCGCGCTCGGAGTCAACATAAACAAGCATGTGTAATTCGTCAATGATGTGGGTATCCTCCAGTCTGTGCCTCATCAAGGAAGATCGGACATTCCGCCGCTCCTTCCAACGGAGCTTGTCAAGCTTCACTACAACGTAGCGACCGTCATCCGACTCTAATGGCGACGCATCCTCCCCTGAAAGTCCCGCCGTGCGGGCAGTGAGAAATGGCCGCCTCGCCCGACACGAATCACAAGCAGAGGCCACGTGAGACGTTGAGTTTTCTCCGGTGTGGGGGTATTGGTGGTGGTGCTTCTGCACAAACCAATGAAGCGGGGCCTCGTGAATTTTCAACCAATCGGCGTGAAGCCACTTCTGCAGTGGACTTCGCCTCATTGCGAGGGGCCGCTTTGACGCGGCAGCAGCAGCAGCAGCGGCGTCCCCTGCAGAAGTGGCGCAAGTTCCCACACCACTCAAGAAAAAGTGCATCAAAATCAGTGAGAACAGTGCCATTAAAAAGAACGGTGGCGTCCCCGAGAGCATTGCGCTTGCCGCGTGTTCGCGCCGCCGTCGACGACAAAAAAAAAAAAAAAAAAAAAGGAGTGATGCTCCTCCTCCTTTTATCTTCCTCCCTTTCCCACTCCCGAGCAACGGGGCAGTAAGACGGCAATCGCAAACCGCAATTGTTTTCCACGCAAAAAAAAAAAAAAAAAGAAAAAAGAAAAAAAAAAAAAGTTAGCAACAGAAACAAAAGGAAAAAAAAAGAAAAGAATTTAAGGAAAACAAAACTGAAAAGTCAAATGGAAATGAGTCCTAAAACCACCTTCAAGAGACCACCATTCCACTTGAGTGCACTTCACCCTCTCCGCCATACATGCATACATATACAGGCACAAAAATGCCCTCAGCGACTTTAGAAGTCAGCCCATGCATTGTTAGGTTGAGAAGTGACAAGAAGTATTACACGTCTTCCGTGCAGAGAAGTAGAGATAGATACATACATGTCTAGAAACAGATGTATATGACAAAGGAGGATAAAATAATAATAACAATAAAAAAGGATTGAATTCACCGCGGTGAAGATAAAAAAGAAATCGTTTTTTCTTTTTGTTTTTCAAGGCCTTAATTTAATTAATTTCGTCTTTGCTTCTTCCTTATGCTTGCCTGCATTTTTTGTTTTGTTTTTCTTCTTCTTCGATTCTGCGGTCCTCCAAACTGCATTCCCGTGCAAAAACGCAAAGACCAGTGATGGTTCCAGCCGCTCCAAAAAGGCTGCGCATCCCCCTCCTGCTGGCATTTCTATCCGTTCGCACTGTTATTCACATTTACGTACGCACGTTACTTTTTCTCCCCTTTTTTTGTTTCCTCGCACTCTTTTGGCTTCCAATTCCTCTTCGCTTGATCGGTCACCGGCGTGTCGCCAGAGTCCTCCTGCAGCAGTTCCTTTACGAGCTGCTCTATCTGATCTTCACTGAAGCCCTCGACACGCCCCACGATGCGACCATCGCGGTACGTCACAAACGTTGGAACGCTGCGGATGTCATGCAGAGCCCCCAACTTGGGGTTCTCGTCGGTATTGACGGGAATGATGCGCACAGTCCTGCCGTTCGCCCGCGCCCGCATGCAAAATTCACGCACACTCTTCAGCAGCACCTCTGGGTCCACCCGTGACTTGGGGTCAGCCAAGGCACCGGGTTGTAAAGTCCCTTCTGCTGCCGGATCCCTTGAGGGCGATGCTGCTGCTGCTGACTGTGTTGATAATGATGATGATGCAAGGCTAGTTGACGATGTGGCCTCGGAACCTCCTCGCACCGCGGGGCGCCCTTTATTCAAAAACGCTTCCAGTTTGACATAGACGCGATTGCGCGGTTCACGCCACGGCGCATAAAAGTACACCAATGCCACCTTCTCCCTGTTGACCTCGTCCAAGAATTCCCGTGAATGGCCCTTGAAGGTGGCAATGTGTCGACGCGTTGCGCACGTCCATGATGACAACGATGCCGCTGGGGCCGTACTAAAAACGGTTGTGACAGAAGTACCGGTGCGACGCCGTACCAGGCAGTGTTGTAGAAACCCAACTGCAACCTTCATTGCCCACAGACCAGAAAAGCCGCACAGCCTCTCCTTTTCCTTGACTTAGGCAAAGGCAAAGAAACCCCTTTTTTTGTTCCTCTATCCACCGCCAGCAGGCATGTAAAAGTAGCAAAGCATACAAAAGGTGGTGAAGTGAAGATAACGACAAAAAAGCACACACCAACATGAATAAATATTTATTTATATATTTATTTGTTTATACATATATGAAAAGTAATAAAAGCACATAAAGAAGCCTAACAAAGAGACGCAATATATGCCCTTGGGGCATCCAGAGAGGAAAGAAGGCCGTGTTCACTTTGCGGTGCGTGGCCGTATGTGTGAAGAAACAGCAGCAACATGATGTGTGGATCCACTGTCATGCCGGTGTGTCATACGGCGCCCCCAAAAATGTTTGTACAACCTCCTTCCACTCCAGCTTTTCTGGCGGTGTGAGTCCACAGTCCGAGTACAATAGCTGCTGCCATACTGACGTTACGTTCTCCTTCAGCTCCTCAGTTTCCTCGACGACCTCCGCCCCCGCCCCTGCAAACTCCGCCAGTCTTCCAAGATTCACAGTCAAAACAAGCAGCATTAACATCGCGCGGCGGTGCCGCACTGCTCTTTCACCCGCTGCACCATCTCCATCCCCCGACACAAGTTCCCACACCAACGCCAGACGATCGTCAAAAAGTGACTCAATGGGTGAGAAGTCGGCGTAGTCATCCGTGTCCACATAAGGAATATTCTCGCGTGCCTCGTCGTAGTCCTCGGGAGGCCGCAGACTGGCGCGAAACTCATTCAAAGCCGCCGTCATCGCGGCCGTGATGCCCGTAATCTCCTCATCCTTCTCCACCTCGGCCATCATCCGGCGCCAGCGAAGAGAGTTGGCCAGACGCGTGCGCTCCTCCTCTGCAACTTTCAGTTCT